TCCACGTTAGATGCTGACCGCGAGTCTTGTTTTCAAAGTTAGCTGTTTCGTCACACCATTCTCGTCTAATTCGAGTGGACCTCCAAACATTCGACGTAGATAATCTACCTTGGTGAACTACAGTAACACAATGTGTGCACCGGACTTAAACCGACTGAATAAAAACGGTGCTGCAAGCCATTATCACGTTGGTTGCTCAAAGAATGTTGTTCTACAAAGTCTTTGCTGATTTTAGAGGCGATTGGGCCGCTGAATATAGCAATAAAATTGCCCTCAGTTAATTAGGCAGCAGTAGATGGACAGAATTCCACTTTTGAGGAAACTGAGATCGTTATCTTGAGCCCAGCTCTAGATCTAAATGAGACCATAAAGGTGGACCCAATCAAAGAAGCATATATGTATGTGGATGTAGGCACTATCACAAGGAAAAAGAGTGCTTTGTGAAGAAGAAGCTACCTATAGACAGTACTAAAGCATGTGGATCTGAGGTTTCATTTCGGGATTCACATACCAATGCAATACAAAGTATGAGGGAACCAAGTCTGAGTGGTGTAGAGGAGTTGATCAAGGGACAAAATAAAGTGAATGAGTGGCTCATAGTTACACCTAGAAAAAGAAGAGTAAGAAAACAGAATATTACTTCCGCGTTTGACTCTAAATTGTAATCGGATTGCAGGGGAGAAACGACTTTAGGAACTAAAATTCCACAGTGTGTTAAGACAGACCTCACTGAGAGGTCAGTCATTTTTCACAAGTTAAAAGAATCTTCCGATCAGGGAAACGAAGGCTAGATTAGAGCAAGTCCTCAGTCATATTAAGTTCCTAATAAGCAAGCTACTCCCAGGAGCTGTTTCAGGAGTTAGCATCTGTAAGCTTTATAGAATATGACAAAAAGTGGATTCTGAAAGTACTCAGAAAAGCCGCCTTTTGAAAGTTAACTATGCTACAGTTGAAGAAGGAAACCAGATACTAGGAAACTCACGCAAACGGATTGGATCCGGAATATACGTCGTTGAGGATCTCAGTATGGCTAATCGCATTAAGAGACGAGCTGCAGAAGTAGAAATGAATGAGCGCTGCCAAAAGGGTGAAGGAAACCTCGTTCTTAAGGGTTGACAAATTGCAAACGTTCGGAACAAAACGATCTTCAAACCACTGTGGGTGGTAAGCGAAGTTCTTCACAAAATTAAGGGTGTACTACACAAATGCTTGCAGCTTACTAAATAAAATGGTGAAGCTCAAAACAGTGGTGGGTAAAGAAAAACCGGGTGTTATTGCTATCTCAGAAACATGGTTAACATCAGTAGTTTTTGATTATGAAATTCAGTTGACTGGTTTTTCTATCCAATAGGGCTAAGAGGATCAACCTTGGGGGAGGCGCGGTTATTCTGTACACGAAAAGTACCTTAACCATACGAGCATTTGAGACAGTGGCACAAGACTCAGGGACATGTAAACTGGTTCGTTGCAAGCTAAAATGTAGAAGGTAACATGTTGAATTAGTTGAAGTATGTCGTAGTCAAGAATGTGTAGTAGATGACTTTCTCCTGATCAAACTTAAGTCCCGGTGTAACAGGAGTAAAAGCCTTATAGTAGGCGACCATAATGCACCGTGGACAGACTAGTTAATAAACTTAGAAGTAGGGTCGTCGATAACGTTATTCGATTGAAAACCATCAGAAACCTCATTAGCACCAGCCTTATTCCAACACATTAGAGATCCTACCAGATATGAATTCAACGCGTGCTATTCAAAAAGGACAGTGGTATTTCAACTCGGGTATATTTTATAGTAATGATCCTTAAATTATGCATCAAGACAACTGTTTTTCATTTAATTGAATTTATTTCAGTAAAAGTAATTCACAAGATTATTCGCTGTTTACTAAGTTAAAAGAAGAGTTGTTAGAAAGTTGCTATCAGCCTTGTCACAGCAGGTACGATTGAACGCTACAGGTCGGTAAGAAATAAGTGTGATTAAAATCCGGAGAGTTCAGAGATAATATGAAATGAATTTGTCACAATCTGCACTCAAGTAGCTTAAAAGAATATTCTCGTACATAAATTACAAAACAATGATGCATCATTGAATTTCTAACTTAATGAAAGCAGGGAGTGAATCTGAAATGTTAGAGGGATGTCAGAAAAAAAAACAGATGCTATGGCTGGCTATTTTGCGGCAGTTTTCAGTCAAAAACCTCTTCTAGACAAAGAGCTAGAGTCTACAAAACGCCTTCTCACCGTTTGCTTTGATCAACACGATGTACTTAATGCTCTTAGCACCTTAGGCACTGAAAAGTCAACAGGACCAGATGAACTACACCCCAAAATCTTGAGACCTATTGCACAATATATCGCGGCCCCACTGACTGTGATATTCAATATGTCACTTGAACAAGGTGAGCTACCTACGGGCCAGAAGGAAGCAGTTGTCACTTCTATTCATAAAACAGGACCAAGACAACTTCCATAGAGTTACAGACCTGTAAGAATAGTCAAACGGACCATGATGGCACTTATGGAGACCAATAACTTGCTAAACATAGAACAACATGATTTTAGAAAGGGTCTATCTTGTACAACGAACCTCCTTATAGCAAGGGAGTTTTGGATTAAGGCGTTAGACAACGGAAACTCAGTGGATGTTGTCCACATAGACTTCAGCAAAGCACCTGACAAGATGCCAACAAATAGACTTCTATTGAAGTTGGAAAACCTTGATATTGCCGGGCCTCTTTCAAAATGGATTAGGGATATCCTAATAGGTCGTAGACAGAAGGTAAGAATAAATTCCAAGTGCTCCAGTTGGAGATCGGTGCTTAGTGGAGTATATCAAGGTTCTGTCCTAGGTCCTTTGTTGTATGTAAATGTAATTATACACCCACTATGTAAACAACTGGCGATAAATAACGGGAGACGCAGATGCAAACACGCACTTCAGGCAGACTTAAATAATATGATTGACTTGCAGAGAGAGGCTGGGGCCTATTAACGCGGAAAGTGCGTTTACGTGCACTTTGGGGATACAAATGCTAATAGGTACAGCATAGTGGAAGTGCCTGTACCCGTGGTCCGATTTCATAAGAATATTGGGGTGAGAGTGAGTTATGATCTTAAAACGACGACTCATTGACAGGAGGTCACAGCTCAGGTGTTTAAAACCCTCTGGGCTCTAAAACGGACATTCACTAAGTTAGATACTACCATGTTCACTACAATACACACAACCTTAGTGAGAACTAAGCTTGAAAACTGAGTTCTAGCTGCAAGCCCCTGTTTAAAAGGCGACTCGAATATACTGGAAACAGTGCAGAGGTCAGCTACCTGTGCAATTCCCCAACTCGAAGGGTTCACCATACGAAGAGCGGTTTAAAAAGCTGAACCTCTTTAATCTGTCCTATCACAGACTAAGGGGAGATCCAATGGAGTGCTAAGAAATGATTTTAGACTCACTATATTCCCTCTTTTTCGTCACATTAGATCGAGACATCTCATAGGATCGAACAGAATACCCGTGACATACAGGATTTCACACCGAGTCATCAATACATGGAACCTGCTGCGCGAAGCAGTGGTGTCCGCACCTCCAATTGACACATTCAAGAAAAAAGTGGACATTCATAGAAGCATACTAGAAAAAGGATAACATATGCCGTAGGCCTTCTGTCCTCACTAAATGAATCTGAATCTGAAAGTGATGCCATCGAAATGATGCATGATATAGTACGAATATTCACTGATATTATGTTGGCGCGACGACTTGCGTGTTGGAACAATTTTGACACCTGTTTGAAAGAAGCATATAAGTAATAAGACCTCTGTGGTTGACAATTATTTTTACAGCATACGCACATTAAATATGTCATGTCAGTATAATCCTGAACAACTAACTCGTGGCGGATATTATGTATTTGAAATTGACAGATACCTTTGCTTTGGGTGTAAATAACTGTGTTCTATGCTACTTGTACCGGCAATAAGTCTACAAAATTACTGAAATTTCTCAAACTGTGAATCCAATACTAGACAATTGTCATACAGTTGCATTTCAGTGAGTTTTTACTATAGTCATATGAATAGCATTCTGTTAGACGTTATCCAGATTTAACAAGGCCGGAAAATCTACGTTTTACCTGAAATTTCCGTTATGTAGTACGCGAACTGGTGATGAGGACACAGTAAACGATGAGTTCATGGCTCAGAATCTATGATGGACATCACTGTAAAAAAATGCACACATGTGTTTTCAAAGTTTGATACTTACATACACATTTATTCGCAGGAAACTCTATTTGAGAATTTTCAATGCAGTTAACCAAGAATTTGTGATTGATAATAAATACTCGGTTCATGTATTTAAATAACTTCATTTAGACAGGCAGTCGATAACGAAGTGTATTTTTTATCACTGATTCACTGCTTAATATGATTAACTCAAATACTAAAACAACTTTATGTTCATATATGAAAAAATAAATGTGCCTAACAACAATGAAAAAACCGGCTTCCGTAGTTACAAAAAGACCTTAGCACCTATGGATACAAACAATACTCGAAGATATATTCAACGGTGAAGAATAAATACCAGTGCCTTTAGTTTTTTGCATCTGTATTTGTGAAGTATAGATGATAAACTTCTCTAGAGAAAGAATGGTACTCCTAGGGACTACTTTGACCTAAATAAATTTATTTAAAGCTTAAACAGTAGTCTTGATGCGTAATTTAACGATCAGTACTATAAAATACGCTCCTTTTTGAATAGCGCGCGTATGTTACTTGATGGGTGGACGTTATGAGAAATGGTGTGACGAAACTCAATTCAAATAAAAATGTCTTAATTTGACCGCTTCTGCAAAACCTTACGAATTGTCGAGGTGACACACCAATCATTTCGCGTCGGTTTGACCTTCAAGTGCTCAGTCACATCCATCAGTGGATGATACCCCAGAAGCGTTGCCAATTTGGGTAGTGCTTATCCATACCTCTTCAGTCGTTTTGCGATGAGAGAACACAAAAGGGGTAATTCATGTACTTAATTACCTTGATAATCCACAAATTCTTTCTGAGGGATAAGGTTTATCGCCTCAAATCCTAATTTGTTTACGCATCTGAACAAATACCAAGCACAACTAATATTAAATATTTTCTGTGTGACTATATAAATAGTCATACTCGGATCAAACCTGTTCTATGTCTATGTCAATGTTAGTTGTATTTTCAGACTACTTCATCTGTAGTTGTTTTCTAGTTTACTATTATAAGTATTAGCTGAACCATGTCCAAAGAAGTAACAAGAAGTGTTTTTGGTGTTGAGGAACAAAATGAGAGGAGCTTTCGCCTAATAAGCTTTCGTTCCTAGTGGCAAAATAATCACAGTGCCATCAGTTAAGCACCTGGGTATAAGGTCAATGCAGAAAAGGTGAAATTAGTGTGATAGTGCTCCGAACCCCTTAGATAATTTCGCGTTTCCTTGTGACAGATTTCAGTTTCAGTTTGCACGAGACAGGTGGTCTGTGTTAGTTCCGGCAATGGTGGTCTCATTTGATCCAATTTTCTTTTGAAAGCGTCTACAGGTCCGATCACGTGTGGAGGTAATGAATTCCATTTGATGATTCGATAGGAAAGTCGATAGTCAGCAGACAAGCAATTTGTTCCGGTCTCATGAACGCTTTTATTGTCCTCGTAAATTCTCTGTTTTGAAAGACAAGAAAAATGAGGACATGTCAGATGCAAATTTATCACCAAGTAATTTGAAAACTGTAGTCAATTCACCTCTGGTTCTTCGATATGACAGTGGAAATAGGTTTATTTTGGCCAGTTGAGCATAAAATAGGAGCTGTGCTGTCCCGAGAGTCAGCTTACTTGCGGTTCTTTGAACCTTTTCCAACAGCGTACTGTTTCTTTTTAGACGGGCTATTCGATTGTATGCAGTATTCTAGTTTACGACGGATAAATACTGTACATAAAGTCAAAAAGGTTTTAGCATTTGCATGACTGAAGGCTCTACATATTGACCATAGGGTTCTAAACCTTTGGTATTTATCGAACGTAGTAGTATTAGTTTTTAATTCTTCGATAATGATGACTCCTAGGTCATTGTGTGTGTGAACGACAGGTAGCTCAATGTTATTCACCGTGTATGTATCTGTACCTTGGTGACCAATATGCATCATAGTGCACTTGGAAGCATTTATCGGCAACTGCCAAATTTAGACCATTCAGATAATTCCTACAGGTAATTTTTAAGATCTTTACTATCATATTTTTGTCGCTCTCTATATCTTGACATCAGCATATAACAAGACCGATGATGATAGGAGACTAAGGTCATTTACATGCAGGATGAACAACACTGGCCCCAAAACCGTACTCTGGGGCACTCCGGTAAACACAATTTCCCAGCTATGCAACTTTTTTGACGCACAATTAGGAAGTCCTTCATCATCATTAATAAATTGTCTGCAATCCCGACATTACTTAACTTATATAACAGTCGGTTGTTAGGACTTTTGTCAAAGTCTTGCTGAATTCAATGAGACAGGAATAACCTGTTCTAAATCCATGCTGATTTTTAGAAATAATCTGGTTTTCGTCGAGATACTTAAACAACTTCCGAACAACCTTTTCTAAAATTTTAACAACCATGCTAGTCGATAGTCCTCGGGTTTATGTTTCATACCTGTCATGAAGACAGGACTTACTATAACATTGTTCCAGTCCTTTGGTAATCGACCATGGATTACAGATAGGTTGAAATATATGCTTAAGGGATTTGAGACAAAATTCGCTAGTTCTTTTATTAACCTGTGATACATTTCATCGAGTCTCATGGATCTGTCTACATCAAGCTCATTTAGACCGAAGAAATCGTGTTTCTTAATGGTCATAGTGTCCAGTGTGTGTGGGGTTTGTATGAATTGAAGGAGAGGATGTCTCTACGGTAAATGCATTGCTAAAGTTATTCGAGAATACCTGAGTATTTCCATAATCGTCCCCCAGCACTGGTGAAGTACTATTGCCTCCCCATAATGCTGTAATATTTCCTCTTCCCTCAGTAATTTTGTTTTGATACAAATATAAACGTTTAGGGTAATCTATAGATTCCTCGACAAGTTCTTCGTGCAACCTACTGGACGCTCGAGGCGCAAATATTTCGAGCTTCTCGATATTGAGATTTTGCCCCGTCATTGCCCAGTGACTTAAGTCTCCCACATTCTTCTCTTACAGAGAAGATTGTGAACCTCCTCAGTCAACCACGGTAGGGAGTCACTCGAACCCCTTTGTGTAGTCCAAGGGATGTGCGATGCAGAGAATTTTATGTACAAATCTCTGAATACCTTCCAAGACGTTCCAATGGTGTATTCTGGTTCTAATGTCCAATCTACTAAGGATAGTGAGTGTATAGTCCCCCGTATATTTGCTTTCCAGACATTTGGTCCGGCTTGGGCTGACACATTTTCGTTACTAACAGCTATTTGGAAATCAAAGCCTAGAACTGCATAGTCACTTTTACCTGGAGGTGGGATATAATCGAGGTTTGTGACGTCATCATCATAATGGGTCAATATGAGGTCTAGTAAGGATGATTTAGAGTCCGGGTCATACCTAGTTGTTTCTTTCACATGTCGCACTACGGCACATGAGATAACCAAGTCAACTAGTTCCTGTTCGAAGGAATTTTCTAACAATTCAGTCCTCGGATTTTTCCATTTTATAGTAGGTGGATTAAAGTTTCCTAAAGTTAAACATCGACCACTTGATAACCATATCTCGAAACCGTTTAGCGGGACCTCATTCACCTCACAGTTTGAACTGTGGTAGACCAGACCAATCAATAGCTCTTGTATTCCAGGCAGCAACGAACAGATTCGCAAGTCCCATTTTCATGGGATACGTTATCAATAACAATAAATGGGATAGTACTACTATTAAATAGAGCTGCCCCTCCTCTTTTACGCTTCCGGATTTTGTCGACTTACTAATGTGAAATTTTCAGAATCATGTTCCCTATTGTCTATTGACTGTGTCAGGCAAGTTTCTGTGACAGCGATTACATCCAGCTTAGTTGAGTCTATCTGTACACCTGGCTCCGATCGGTTGTTAAACACGCTCAGGGCATTTGTGTTACAGGTCTGAAGACCATCTAAATGGCTTCGGCATCGCTCTAAGATCTATCTCTCCAGTATTTAACCCTAGTTTTTACTCTCCTCGATCTTCTCGTCTCTTTGTACTGATCTATCATTATGATCACTCTTCAATTTCTCAGTCATTTTTTAGGGAACTGGCTCTTCTTCAACAACATGATGTCGCTTCTTGTTTTTGGTTTTTACCCACTCATCTGCAGTCACAGTCGCGTCATACACATTGTGGGATCCTGGGTGATTGTCGATGACTTGGGTAATCAGGTTTCTATTCTTTCTGCTAGAAACAGACCTAGTCTAACGACCAGGTTTTCTAGGCATTTCCTGCCCACTGCCATTTGGAGGGCAGGGGACAGAAGAAATTTCCTTTCTTGAGCTTTTATTTCTAACAAACCTCTTTGAATTCTGTCCTTCCTCGTTCGGTCTGTGTAAGTCAATCGACTCTGAGTTTGAGGTAACTTCGCATCAATGTTTATGTCGGCCGAGAGAGTACCATTTGATGTGGCTCGACCACGCTTGTTAATCCTCCTTTTAGCAGCACTCACCATTGCAATGGCCTCGGATAGCAAGCTGTTTGCGTCCGAACAACACTGCTGACACAACCACACAAAACTACTTTTGCTGAACCATTTAAAACCCACAGGCGTTAGATTCGTGCGAAACTCGTGGTATCGTCCTTTGCACTAATCGCACTACATGCCACTTTCCACATGGCATCTACAGCCTGGGCGTTGGCAATTGCTTTTCTTTGCATTGTATGGTATTTGCTTGAACTATTTCACCTGGGCGTAAATTTTAGGACTTGATTATACGTAAAAAGTGGGAGGTATGTCTACTCTCCAATATACTTTTTCATACTTCTAATCTCTTAATTCTTTCTAGAATAAGTTTTGGAGCTGAACTTAAACAAGTGCTTTAGATAATGTGTAGGGGTTTTTTGGTTATGCTTTGAGTTATTGAGAGGTCGCCTGTGAGTTGCCTATTTTATGTAGGTTAGAAACCTAGTGATTTAAGCCATTCCTCTTAAGGCTTTAGTCTGTTTGGAAACTAATTTCATAGTTTGGATTAATATACCATCCAGCGGCTTCTTAACTTTTTAGAGTGGTGAGGGAATAACTATATTATCATACTCCAAATGAGGCTGAACTAAACCCAAAAATCAGGTGAAAAATTTCGCTATCGAACTGGCAAAAATTGCGCTTCAAAGTAATTAGTGCAAGATTTATTCTGACGGCTTTCTATCACATTTATTATTTATTTATTTATTTATTTATTTGAACACAAATATTGGTACGAGAGGGCACCAAATATATACGCGCCACACAAAACAATGAGGATGGGAAGAGAGAAGAAAAAAAGGTAAGGAGCGTAAAAGAAAAAAAGAACAATAACGACCAGATTGGTGTAAGGTAGTGCAATAATAATAGTAATAATAATAATAATAATAATAATAATAATAATGGGGGAAACGGAAAGGTTCAACCAGAAGAAATCTTTCAATTAAGAAAGACACAACCACTTTTTATGAAGAAAGTAAAAGAATAATGAAAATGATGATATTTGTCAAATTTAACATGTAATTTTAGATCATCGGTAACCAGGACAAGTACCCATTTTCCAACTAGTAACATCACAAGCAGAAAATTGCCTGATTTTTCTGTGTCGCAAATGAACTACACTAAAGGGAGCTACTTTAAAGTGTTGAAAGCAACTCCACTGTTGTTCACCAAACTTTGAAGTTATATCAGATTCTCACCGAGTTCCGGTTTATCATACTGATTCTAAAGCTTTAGATTCTTAGCAGTAATACATGTCTCAGAGGATACTGTCTGAGGAAGGCTATTTATGTAAATCAAGAAAATATTATTACTAAACCCTGTAGGACCCTAACATAACGCTCTATAGTTTGAGAATATAATTTGCCGTGACCCTATATAGTCAATTTAAGTGAATGTATCGATGGTAATTTTATTATCTTGTCTCATCTGTCGAAGATTGCATACAAAGTTCATACGTATTGGGTGTTCAGCAACTCATCTTTAGTAATTAGCCAGAAAGAGTCTAGTTCATTACTGTATTATTTGATAATCTTGTCTACCAACAATACGTTTGCAGACCTAATTTTGTGTGGGGATTCATGCTTTTAATATACAACGGGGACTTGTTCTCATGAAATCGGTTAATTTCTTTCGGAAAAGTAATTCGTTTCATTCGCGATTGTTACTATATTGGCTGCTTTCCTTCCGAAACCAACATAAGTTATGCTTCAGCACTTTTTAAAGGTCAGACTTTAACCGTAATTATATAAACAATGAGATGTTTGCCTTAAAACGGTAGTCAAACTTATGATGCTTCCACATATTTAATAAAGTCGCTTCCAAAAGGAAAGCGTTATCTATTCGTTGAGTACAGTAATAAATGTTATTCTCAAGCATAAAAGTTGACATGGTATAAGATGTTCTAATTTTATCTTAGCTGTAAGCGTGGCATCGGCTCACTATGTTGCAAGCTCGAAACTTGTACCACATTTTTCGGTTTGAACAGACAGGAATTATAACTAATTACCACACCTAAAACGCTTCTCGAGACGGTATATCTATTGAGGGTCAATAATATACTTTAATAACAATTGTAAACTAATTTAGGATTGTTGGGCAGTTTTGCTTCTCCTATAGAAATCTTTGTTTGCCGATTCTATCAGTTTGCTATCATTTTGAATACAGCTTTTTCTCACAATCACGAGTTTTACTATTTCATAAAATTCAAACTGATAATGAACTGCAAATGAATCATGTGTAATTTGGAGCCGGATATCTGATAATTAATTTTAATCTTCATCCTAAAATTAACTCCGGTTTTATTTTTTGCTTTATCAGTTTTTGAAAACTCATTCTTCATTTTGTACCTGTGGTTCGGTTATTAAAGAATTTGACTTTTCATCAGTTGGTTACATGTTGGAACTTTCTTCCATCTCTTCCGCTCTGCGTACTTAAATAGTGTCACTAGCACTCACAAATTGTGACCCTAAGCCAAATACATCTAACTCCATTTTGTAAATGGCTATCATATTGTATAATAAGGCTCTTTGGTTTTTATTTGAGATGTTTTTTATTGAAACCCAGGTACTTCCACCTTACTGTTATGTGTACCTACACGTTGTTAGACCGTTTCGCTGACCCATCCTCTTATCACTTCAGGTGTAGTAACTGCAAATATCACTAGTCGTGTTGACATACAGTTAGGGACTACTGAAGTCCTGGACAGCTTTAACTGGTCAAGGATTATTGCTTGATCTACTCTTAGCTTATGGTTAGGTTTCAGTGACTTGAAAGGATCACCAAAACATACTCATCTTTAAGGCACTATTTGAAAAAGATGAAAATTCACTTTAATTTATGCCGCTGAAATAACAAGAAAAACCACAATGTGAGTAAATTGAATTAACCATAGTCCTATTGTCTTTCAATGGACCTTTGGGAAAATCCCTAATGGTGTATAGTAATAATGTGTTTCTTACATTTCAGCTGCCATTCCATCGGGTGATCTTATTTCATTGGGTATGTTCTCTATGTATTTGATTTTATCTTGAGAACGTTAGGAAGTAAATCAAAGAAGGTTTCAGTTTCACATGGAAATCTTGCCAAAAAAACTAAAACTCAATCAGTAGAAGGTAAGGTTGTATACGACAGTTTTCCAGCAATATTCTCAATCTGTTCTCTTCCTCTAACTTATGCACTATATAACTTTTTTAGTTGATCCGTCCGAATTAGTTACTCGAGTGGAGGCAGCTTTGTCTGCTAATGATATTAATCTGGTAGAATTTCTAGTATCCGCAGCATTGAACCAGTTAAAATCTAGTTCTGGGCATGGTACTTTGTGCTCCTCTTTGTCATCTGGTTCTGATTTTCGCCCGGTCCATAGTGGCGTAGGTTCGCGATTATTGCCCGGTATTTCACTGGGCCTTCTGGTACTAGCACAGGATCATCCAAATCTGTTCTCTTCCTCTAACTTATGCACTATATAACGTTTTTAAAATTACACATAATCCTTAACTTTCGGGCGTTTTGTATGACCTCCGTTTGTACAATCCTTTGTTTATTTGACGCCGTACTTTGTCTCGTGTGCATAAACCTGTTGAAATATACTTGTTTAGAAATTAGTCTAATAAAAAATAATGAGTCCAAGTAATCATACCTTAATAACCCATCTCGAATGACTGAACTTCTCTACTCATGAACACTGTACGTTCCGCTTCTCGCCCTTCCCTCTTCCTCTCACGTTATCAGCACCCTTGTGTTATACCAACGAAAACTTATATGGAACATATGACTTTATCGTGCGCCGTTATTAATACCTCCGGAATTTATCTGGTCTCACTACCAAGAAGCAAAAGGTAATGCATTAAATTTAGCCTTTTCTGCTTACTGCTCCGGATTTTTATCACATTGATTCTCGACCACAAATTACTTGTCGCAACGCAACTTTCACAAAGCGCATCATTCTTCACATTAAACATTAGATTCTTACTAACATTATTATTCTAATATATGATGATTTTTTCTTTTTTATCTAGCTAAAGTATCACATAACATATAAACATAACTGAGCAACTTATAACATTAAAGTCATTAGCTTTATAACAATCTGATCTTGACTTTAAACTGGCATGTCTTATGAAAAATATGGTTATCTGAGAATAAATATTATCATTGATATTTATTATGTTTTGAAATGCGCGTAAGGTGTATCAGCAGGTGAGTGTGATCGTCATAAAGAAATAACAAATTCCCAATTAGTCAGTGACTGAGGAGCTGCAGGAGATTTCAGCGTTAGTTACATTTGTCTTTCAGTACGACTGGATAGTTTTTGTAGACAATCGCAGCAGTTTGCGTAAAATGCACTATAATCGTCTGAATAGTAACTGAATTTCCCGTATGCCATAGAAGTCTAAAAGAAAATTAGTAGTCATATCACAAATAAATCATGATTCCGTTTTCCGTGATATCCAGTATTTTCAACAGGTTTTAAAAAAATCTACCTCACTAACGATATTTTTATGGACTGATCCTATCCGTGTGTTCAGATATCACAGTTGTATGTAAACCGAAAATTTCTGATCCATAGAAGCGTATTTTTTCTGATTAACAGTCGATTATATTGCAACCATAATTTATGATGACGTTGGAATTGAATTTCATAATTAGTTCATCATCCACGTGGTACATAATAAGAATCTGTTTACTGCCTAGACACTGTTAGTACATAGAATACACCTAAAATATATACTTAGAATATTTCATTAGTGTCGTAGGTTGGAAGTTAAATTCTTATGACGTTTAAGAGAAGATTCCTAGCCATTTTTTAAACGGTATTCAATCCTAAAAATAGTTTACTAGGAAGCACAATTTCAGTACATCTCACAAGCCGTTTCAGTGATATATTCTGGTCCTGTCGTTCAACCCAATGAGTACCTGAGTGTATGATTTATTGTATATTTACCGTCCAGAAGTTTAACTTGGCTTGTGCTGACAAATCGTGGCGGACAACTACATAGAAATCAAACGTTGGAACTGCATACTCACTCTTACCCAAGTGTACCATATAATCGAGACTGATGACGTTATCTTCATAATGGGTCAATAAGCGACTTAGTATGGCTGATTTGGACTCTAGATCATAACAAGTTGCGTCTTCCACAGGCTACACTCAGGCACATGTGATAATTGTGTCAACTAGAATTTGTTCAAAATAATTCTCTTACGACTAATTCGCGCGTTTCGCCCTCATGCTAAATGTTTTCAGTAATGGCAAATGGAATGTCGTTTTTATGATAAATGGAGCTAATCCTCCTTTACGCTTCTAAATTCTGTCTGCTATTGGTAATGTGAAACTTTTGGAATCAAGTTCTCCACTGTCAACAGACTAGGTCAGGCAAGTTTTTGTGACAACGATTACACTGGGCTTGGTAGAGTCTATCTGTAGACCTAGCTCCGATAGCTTATTAAGTACGCTCCCAGCATTTGTGTAACGGATTGAAAGACCATTTAAGTGGTTTTGGCATCATTCTCTATCGAAGCCTCACTATCCGAAAATTTACAGTTCCAAAATCTTTCTTGTTAGCAACTCACCTTTGTTTTAGTTCGCGAGAGACAAGTTTTTACAAATACAAAATCCCGATGCGTTTAGTTTATGTCCATTCTGTTGTATTGCGTTCCTCTCATTGGGAGATTTAAATGCTCATTTTAGCAGCCTGGTCTGATCCTGTTTCATATCCATTTGGCTACTTATTCTACAAACCCTCAGCAAGATAACCCCAGAGATTTGTCGAGTCATTTGCTGATTACGTAGATTATTTATCAAACCAGTGTCATGTTCAAAGAGAGTTCTGGGTTCCGAGATTTTACTTTCCTTGGCTCTACGAAAGACAACTCACTTATCACTATGAACAGTCTTCAGTTTCTCAGCTACAGTTTTGGGAACTGGGTCTTCTTCGGCAACATGAGGTCTGTCCCTAATCTTGATTTGTACCCATTCATCAACTATCATTGGAGTAGCAACCGCAGTCGCGTAATGCACACTGTGGGATCCTAAATGTCTGTTCGTGATCTCGAAGACGTTTGCCATTTGTGAGTACATCTATCTACACCCCGAATTGTCTTTCTGACTTATATTTGACGGTCGGTTTGACAATTATTTTTGGATGGAATCCACTAGGTATGGTCTTTCAATCTATCCATGTGGGAACAATTATTCGGAATTTTTCTGATACTTTGAGCGCTCAGAATGCCAGTCTGGTCCGACCTGTCTGTAAACTATTCCTGTCGCGTGTCACCTACCAAGGACATTATTATTTTATTATAACGGCGTGACATAGTTTTTATTCATTTCGATGGTACACACAATGCTGGCCAAAGCAGACAAAGTTTAAAGCCAAGTTGTCCTTGATTTGATTATAGCTTTCACATAAACTCTGGGGTCGTCAGTATCGCGTTTACAGTTCTAATGGAAGATCTGTATGACAAATTAAATCCTACAATAGCCTTAAACTTGAATTGTACCGTTAATTTGTCACTGACTACTAAAATTTCCCTTACTTCAAATGAGAATTGTGTTGAAGATTTGGCAGAATGATTATATGATTGTAAGATACATGTTGAATGTTTTGTGTGTGAAAATCCCTCCATGTATACACTTGCAGTTTGTTCCTATTGATTTCTTTAGTTGTACATTGTTAGTCTTTTTGGTTCCATTTGAGTTGTTAATATTTGCATTTTATTATAGTTTTTACTTTTCTTACACCTTCACTAAGTTTACGTCTTTCTTCCTGAACTACATTTATGTTGTTTTGCTTTATACTTAGCCTTGGCAGCAGCCATATTGGTTTGTTCCTATTTTTGATTGTGTTGCTTGTATTGACTGGAATTGTACATTTTTGACTGTGAATTGAGGCACTCTTCCGGAATTGGAAACACTGTGGCATAAAGGAACCAAATATTATCTTTTGAATGAATCTCTGTGTATCCTGTCCAAACAGAATAGAATAGCATTTCTTTGTTGCGATTGGTAATTTCCTCGCATCCCTTATCAACTTCCTAATTTGTTGTAATTTAGATTTGATTAATTGAATAATTATTGGCTGAGTAGTTTGGTGGTCATATTTGTCTAGGTAACAATGTACATTTAAATTTATGATGAATTTCAGAAGCATCATTTCATCCAATTACATTGTTTTGGTTTCAACTGGGCAATGGCGCGTATTTAACCCACGTAGACAGCTATTCTTCTGTCCAAACCTTAGTTTACATCTTACGATGATCTGATAAGACTATTTTCTGTCTTCTGCATTTATCTTGACGAGCTGCACGTAAAGGTCTTAAAGAATGAAATGGTCGGTCTCAGACCGGTGTTTGGTTTGCATGGCTTCAGTGTACCATATATTCAAATAATCACATGCGCACTATACTAATGGACGATCTTGCTTTGCCAATCGTTTCATTTTAATAATTTCGTCGAGCGTACTATTGTTATAATAATAATAATAATAATATTAATATATTTCTGCATTTGTAGGTACACACCGTTTTCACAGGCATGATGTATAAATTACAACATTTGTTGTTTCACAAAATATTTCCCAACTTATTAAGTTTACAGTTGTTATAAGGTGAAATCATAGAGCGCTTGCTGTAAACTGTGACGTTGAGAGGACGCATACGTCAAGTTTGTTCCAAACGTCAGAAGTTTCATAGTTGTGCTCTCAGAGCGAGATTCTGAAGAAGAAAAAAAGAGAAACAGAAGAGCAGAAAGGCACTTGGATATGAACGCCAAACGTTGCTTAACATTGTGTAGTAGAACGGACAGAGGTATAATAAATTAGAATAAATTCATATTATGTCTTGTTAGAGTGAAATGAAGTCAGAGGCTCCATATTAGAGAATGTAGTAATAAAGAACAATGAGTTGTGTCGTTCAACGAGTTGTAGTAAGCTCACATGAAGGAAAGGAAGTCAAGGCTGGTACAAGGAAAGAGGTTTATTAGAAGGGTGTGTATATAGAGGGTGAAGTGTTAAGAATACTAATGACTATATCTTTTGTTGTCTGACTTTTTTTCCTTTTTTTGTTTATCCGATGTCAGCCACACAATCCTAGTGTAAAAGTCCGAGTTAGCATGTTATAGGTTGTCTTAGTAGAATAGTTAATCCAGCATAATATTGGAAACATGAGTCTGAGTGGTGAGCGTAGGAAGACAATCTATATCTCAGATTGACTGTCTTACTCTCAATTATAAAGAGCCTGGTACATACAAAATGTTCTGTCCCCACAAACACGGGTGGATTGAAGTTATCGCCCTCACCATCAATGCTTGCTGGTCAGTAACTCCACCCTCCCTCCTTTTGTGATGTTAGGCTCATTTTTGTTTATATGTCATACCTCACAAAATCCTCTGTTTCACAACCTGTTGGAAAGCACTATTTCTATAAGTACCATTTTACAAGCTTATCAGGCAGTTACTAGCTATGGACTG